CTCAGAAGAAGAGATTTCAACTTCTTCTTCTACCGATGCAACACGACAAGCTGCTGCTCCTCGTGCAGCTCCTGCAGCTCCTGCTCCTCGTCCTCCTGTAGCTTATCCTAATGCTGCTGCTCCTTCTCCTGCTGCTGCTGCACCAAAAACCCCAAAACCAGCAGCAGAGAAACAAGGCTTGAGTTCTGCTGCTAGCCGCAGCGCTCCCGCAGCGGCGACCGCACCGAAAGCCACCTCATCAGCAGCACCTAAAGCAGCAACAGCAACAGCAGCAACAACAGCAGCAGCAGCAAAACCTGCTGCTGCTACTGCTGCTGGTCGTAAAGCAGCAGAACCAGCACCGGCAAAAGAAGTTGATGATGAGGAGGAGGATGAGGATGAAGAAGAAGAGAGAAGCGAGAAGACTGAAACCGTCGCCAAGAAAGAAAAAGAAACTCCTAAGGAGAGAAACCTCCGCACAGCGTCAGCCAGCACTGCTTCTGAAGAAGAAAAAGCCAAAACTGCAGAAGACAAAGAAAAGTCCACAGAAAAAGCCAAAGAAGGAGACGCTGATCGCACCGGTGGCGGCGGTGGCAGCAGTGGCGGCAATGGGGAAACATCATCAACAACAACAACAACAACAGCAACAAAAGACGGATCAGAAGGAGCAACACCAACAGCAGAAGGAGGCACAACAGAAGCTGAAACAACTACCCAAGCGGCCTGGGGTTCTTCTTCTGCTTCTTCTCCTGTATTAGGATTCGCTGCTGCAGTGTTTGCCGTTGTTGTTGGTTTGTGGGCTTTCTAAAGTAAATAAAGAATATATATAATAAAAATAAATAAAAAACTAATAAAATTATAAAATAAATAAACAAACAAAAAAACTGAAATGGATAGGCTGTAATGCAGCTCTATGAAGGATCTACACAGCTGACGACGAAAGAACTAATAACACAAAAAAAAAAACAAAACAACACAAATAAACAACACAAACAAACAAAAAAAAATAAACAAATATATAAACAAACAGAAAAAGAAACAGATAAACAAATAAAATATTCAGAGGTGGGAAGAATGTAGTGCATATCGATGATGTGCGTGTAGTTCTATTATCTAAAGAGCGGCGCAACGAATGAAACAAATAAACAAACAAATAAAAAATAAATAAATAAATAAATAAATAAATAAAATAAATAAATAAATAAATAAATCGGAGATAGGCAGAGTGTAATACATTTCAATGATGCGGCTGCAGTGGTAAAGCCTAAGAGCGGCACCGCTTCGTTGATTTATATTTTCATACGTAG